GAAAGAAAGAAAGAAAGGGAAGGAAGGAAGGAAGGAAGGAAGGAAGAAAGGAAGGACGGAAGGAAGGAAGGAAGAGAGAGAGGAAGGGAGGGAGGGAGGGAGGGAGGGAGAAAGAAAAGAAAGGAAACCTAGCCAACTAAGGAGGTGAATCAGAATACTCAGAAATTGAGACATAATGATAAAAGACTAGTCATAAGCATTGAATCTATTGTAATTTAGAGATTGACAATGTGGAAGTTAAAGCAATAGAACAGAACATAAATGTCTTTAGAATTTAAAAGTAAATAAAACTAAAGGAAAAAGAAAAAAACTCTCAACAAAATACTAGCAAATGAAATCCAACAACATATAAAAAAAATACATCAAGACTAATTAAGGGTTCACCCTAGAAATGCGAGTCTGATTTAATATTTAATTTCTCAATGTAAATTACCACATCAGCCAATGGAGAAGGGAAACATGATTGTCTCAAGAGATGAAGAAAAAAATTGGACTCAGTTCGATCCCAGCATCATACTAGGAACACGGCCTGACAAAGGCATCACGCAAATACTCACAGCCAGCTTTACACCCAGCGGCTAGATGGGCAAGGCCTCTCCCTGAGGTCTGGAACTGGACAAGGCTGCCCTCTCTTCCCCAGGAGGGTCCCCGCATCAGTGCGGTGAGTACCTTATGCAGGTACTTTTCTGACAGGAGCTCCCTTTGCAGTGAGCACTGTGTGTGCCAGCTCACGTGTCCACATCGCTGGCATTTGTGCAGCTGAGGCTGGGGGACGAGCACACGCTTCCACAGGGACCAGCACTCAGCCAGATGCAGCTGGACACGGACCCGGGAGCTGGGCCTGCCCCGTGCTCCGACCTGAAGGGCTGCAGTGCACAAGGCCGGGGTCAGACGGAGCGGTGTCCGTTCCTGAGCTCTGCTGCCCACGGGCACGAACCCGGGCAAATTGCTGACTGTCTGTGAGCTCCACTTCCGTCCCCTAGAAGTAGAAATAGCAGGACACACTGTCAGATGTGCAGTGAGACATAGTCC